GGCCAGCTGAAGTTATAATTGGAATGTATTATGTAGGGCATATCACTACTGGCCGCTTCAGCAATATTGTGCATGCCTGCAGGAGTGTTACTTCTGGTGGCTTTTTTAGATTTGACATTGTATGTTGAATGAAGTATGAACCGTTGACAAATGCAGTTTCCTACGTCAAATATTGCCTCATTGGCTCCTCCATTATTTGCTTATTACATCTAGTGAGTGCAGTATTCAATAGTTGATTTAAGTTTTATCGTGCCATGTCGGAGGACAATGTTGAGGAAATAAACCAACTAAAGTAGACTTTACACTTTTTTTCAATTGAGAAAAATCAAGATTCGAGTCGATGAAACCCATACAGACAACTTTGATTAGCCAAAGGCCCATCTGCTTATGACCATGCCATCACCTCATGCTTGGTCAGTAGATCACTGAGAGTCGAGTTACTTGGGAAATTGGATGATACTTTCTAGGCCCCAATGCTGATGCCTAGGCATAGGACTTAATCTGCCACTGTTGTCATTGAATAGTGCAGCTCTTAGGGTAAGGAACTTAAGCAGTTCTAACTTCGGAATCGATGATCCATCAGAAGCAATATAGACCTTAGAATTCTTAAAAAAACTATAAATCTGAATCTTCAATTAAAATTTCCATCCAACTAATGAGAAGAGAATCATAACAAATAATAGATTTTAAAATATCTCATTCGTAGTCTAGTCTCAGTGCACTCTTCAAGCTGTGTTGTTTGTATAGCGAAGCATCAGATCTCTATCCTCGAATACATAATGCCTTCCAATTACTTAAAAAAAAAAAAAATCAAGCTCACCAATGATCTGGTCTACATTATGGAGGAAGAGTTGACCATCAAATTTCCAAAGGCGAGAGTTAGAATCAGCCTTGAATTAGGTTCAGATCCAGCAAACGAGCAATCCATTTTTCCATGGTTTACTCTTCTTGATATTATAGGCCACTAAATGGACATCAAAATTTAAAATCCATTAATATTAGCATTAACAAGTATGTCTTTCAAAGACAACCACGAATTGGAAATTTTAAATGCCTTGTTGCAATTGCTGAAACTCTATCTACATAAGCACTATATTGGTTGCTCCTACCTTCCGGAAAATAATGCAAACATTTGACCAAATTCTGCAGGACCAATACTCCTCATGAGTAGGTTAAATCAAAGAAACTTATGCTCAAATCACATTATATATTGCAGCAAAATTATTGTTCCATTTATTCAGCAAACAAAACTCGTTAAAAGTCTTGTAATCTTTTTGTAATACCCCGATGAGTGTCACATAAGATCTGATGGGTGCATTCCTACCGACTTCAGCATTTTGAATCAATGGTTTGAACTGAACAAAATTAATAAAACAATTATCCCATCACATCGAATTATGATAATTGGTATAAAAACGAACCTAGAATTAGGGTGTATGATAAGAGGATATCCATCAACGAAGCCACCGTACATATTACATCATGGAGCTAAACATGGACGAGGACATAGCTCAGGCCCGGAGCCTTGACGAGGACATAGCTCCACTGGGCTAAGGGGCCTTGACGAGGACGTACAGGCCGGGTTGTGACACTTGTGGGTCAGCATTGTCAAGTATATAATGAATGCCCTTCCCATAACGCCCCACTTGACCTTTCCTACTGCTAACAATGAGAAAAGGCATTGACACCCTAAAAAATACTAACTCTCGTCATAGAACTAACAAAATCCCTTCTTTTTCACTGATGTCGCTCGACGATAGAAGACAAAGGATGGAGCGAGTATGAAGAGAAATAGATCAAGAAAATAATTAAATCACTGATCGAACAGAGCAAGTGAAAAAAAGTAAGAAATAATGTAACGAACGTGGTGCTGAGAACAGACCGTCCGATCCAGAAGGAGAGGGAGGCGCCGAGGACCTTAGCGGAGAAGACGGAGACGACAGCGGGGAGGAAGCCAAAGAGAAGGGAGGTGCTGACCTCGAAGAAGACGGCCTAGGGGAGGCAGCAGAGCGCCAGGGCGACGGTGTGGGCCACCACGTACGCCGGGATGGCCCATATTCCCGGCCGCTCTGCCAGCCGTCGGAACGGCCGGAGACCCGCCTCGGAGCCAAACCCTTACCGCCGGCCTGTTGCAACCAGCAGCAGCATCGCCCCCGCCATCGCTCCCAACCGGACCCACCCCTTCCCCATCCCCCCGCGTCTGTCGACTCGGTCTCCACCGGTCGCCGTTGACGGAAAAGGGCCAAAATAATAAATATAGATCGTGCACCCGAATTCTTCTCCGCGTATGTTTTCATTCGGAGGATTGTCTCACCTCTCTGCTTCATTAAGGTGCAAGTGGACCACCGTTAACCCAATAGAAGAGCAAGTAAGAAAGCGGGTACAGCACGTAAGCAGGTGCGAAATGCGTTTTTGTTAGTTGGTTATCTTGCGTTTGTGGACCCATACATAAGCATGACATGATTAATTTGGACTCGTCGACAGGAAATCAGAGCGGTGAAGGCTCGCCTGTCTCTGACAAACCAGAGAACACGTTATCCCCTGCCTCACAAAGATTCTGGGACCCACAAAAACTCTCCCATACTTGGATTTGGTGATTGAGATGCGGTATTTCCTGTCTTCCCAGACAAAGGCGATTTCCATCCACTTCCCGCAAAAAGAAACCGCCTCTTTTGTAACGATTCGTATCTAGCGCCGTGACAGTAGCCGCTTCTCTTTGGATATCGACTTCCGACACGCATTCGCCACCCCAACGGAATACCCAAATAAAAGAAGTTTTGTGGGGTCCACGCAAGGCGCGGGCCCCAGGCAAAGGTACTCAAGAGTAGAAAATTGAACGTTCGTCCATTCCTGCCGTTACTTTTTTTTCCGTTCGTAACTTGGATCGCGTCGTAGATATATGAATTACCACAGTTACCCTCATGACGCCAACATACCGCCGCTTTCTCTGGCGAGCCTTCGCCTCCCAACGCGTTTTATCTTTATTTGTATTTATTGGTTGACTTGGTAAGTAGGACGTGGCACTTGGTATCTGATTGGACGATTAGCATCTCGATATTACGTGGCCTTCTGCTACTGGCCAGCGTGACTTTTTTCCGAACGACAATACAGATATTAGTGACATCGAAGGCAGATAAGTGTGACGAGAGGGAAGGCCTCTTTTTGCGGAGGAAACGTTTCACGTCGCCGGCATCAGTCGTAACTGAGGTCGTCGTGATGTGGGGACGCTGGCCATGATCGACTATTGTATCGAAACCAGCCACAACAATTCGAGTTCCAATTAGAAAAGAGCTTGAGTAGGTGTCATGCTAGTGTTAATCCATTATTTATACCCTCCGATCCAAGGTTGATGATGTCAACCTCCTCCTTTTCTTCAACGTCAATCTTTTCCTAAGGAGGCCGCAAGCTAGTTTGTCTAATTGTCACTTCATTCATCCCCTTGTACTATAGACAACCTCATTTCCAACTCCTTATAGGAGATCAGGATCGTTGTGCAAGAAGGTAAGAGGGTCGGTCTTACTTGCATTGCATGCTGGGGCTTACAGCCTCGAGTGTCTCGGTGCTTTGATGTTTGTCCATTAAGAAGTGAGACATAGATGCAAATGGGGGTTGACGGTGGCATACTCGTGGAGATCGATGGAATGTATTGATCGATAATAATTTAAGTTCGTCAGATTTTTTTTATTCTTAAATGTGAATTTTTTGAACTCACATGTTGGTACGTCAATTGCTCAAAACGGACAACTTCTCACGAGTCTACGAGCCACACCAATGACTAAATGAGTATCAAGTTAGCAATACGTGGATTTAATATACATACCCACATATCGTATCATTTTAAAAATAATATTTTTTAAGAACATATTATGAAATCGAAAGAATAAATCTATAAAAAAAAGGATAATTACAATAATAAAAATTGTCATGGTTTTGAATTCGGAATAGGAAGTGATAATTCCAATTCTAATTCGAACTATTAATTTTTTTTTAATTAAAATTTTAAAATTCAAATCTCATACTCGTCATTTATCATTTATAAAAGAAAAAAATTAGAGAATAATAAATATAAAATTTAAAATATAAAAAAAATTATAATTTTATTTCTAAAATTGAAAAATTGATGTATAACTATAATGAGCAAAACCGATATAAAAAAATAAAATTATAAAATTTTTAATCAAACTAAATACCTCTCTCAAGATCTAACTCATAGTACCCAAATTCGAGCTAAACAATTTAACCATTGTGTCACAAGTTCTATATGTAATTTATTTTTATTTTTTAAGCATACAACTGATTTAAAACTACTAAAATCATCGATTTTGATTTTTCAATAATAACAATAATAAGAATAATAAATTATATCTCAAAATTTTCTTATGTTCAATATGCATAATGAGTTTTATTAATGTACACATTAGAAAAAAAATAAAGTTAATTCTTACAAATAATTGATAAAATATCTAATAATTTGGTTAGTCATATATGATTTTATAAATTGATTAGTATAATTGATTTAATCATTCTTGTTATATAAATATCTAATAATTTGGTTATTTCCTGTGATGTTTAATTTGTCGAGAAATTTTAGTTGTATATGTTATTACTTAAAAGGAGATAATTCAAAGATCCCAGTGAGTACAAGAGCGAATCTAATAACGGCTATCATCCCCTAAATTAGCTGGAGTCATTATTATAAAGTTTCATTTACATTTTATATTGTTCGTATACAAAGTTATTCTATTAGTTTTAGAAAATAATTTATTTGGATATTGTAATTATATAGAAATATATTTTTGTTGATATATTACATAAATATTGCCCGATAAGACTGATAGTGATTTCATCAAAAGTCGTGCCGGCGTTGATGTGCGGGCCTGATGTGTTTTGGGTATATTCGAAATAATTTAAAGAAATCATATGCATCTTCAATTTTGAGGGATAAATACGTAACTTCAGGAGTTGCGGAGATATATATGCAAATTTGCCCCCCCCGACCCCGGCTTGCATTTGCTCGCAGCTTCGTTTGCGGCGGCGTTTCCATCGACGCGTTCCCCTACTTTCCCCCTCGCGTTTTGGTTGCGTCGAAGGCGAGGAGGAGCGGGTTGTAGAGGAGATCCGGCTTAGATTTAGCGATTCTGAGCCGGAGGTGGTTGGTCCCCTGTGGAGATCGGATCAAGGTAGGCCTCCCCTGGATCTCATGGAGTATGAACTAGATCGGCTCTTCTATCTTTTTCTGATCGCGAAAACTCGTTCCTTTTTTCCGAGATGACTACAGATTTGCGTCCTTAGCCGGGATTTTTGCATGTTCTGATTTGATCCCGTCATGGCCTTACTTCTTCGTAGCTGATTTCTGCTTTTCATTTTGATATGCTTGTCGAGGCTCTGTAGTTGTTTATCGTTACGAGGTAGTGGAGATCTGTTGCGAATTTGTATCAGATCGATTGCTGCCATTCTCGTCTCTCAGATCTGCGAAAATAATATGGTTTTGTACGCGTCTCATGCTCCTATGAAGATGTTATCGTTAGGAATGTCACCTTTTGTAGAATCAAAGAACTTCCGCTTCCTGTAGCTGCTGATTGTATAAAAAAACATTTTTTAGGTATACTAGGGTTTTATTTACGCGAGGATAAATTCGAGCAACGTCAATCTTTATGCTGTTAAACCCATATGATTCTTTGTTATGATTGCTTTTGATTGATCTCATCTCTTCCCTGCTCATCTTTGGCTTTTTTATTACTACATATCAAGTTTTTTGATGGGTTATCTTGATGACTCTTTCAAGATTACATGCAAAATTATTGCACACTTTGAAAAGGGATATCTTTGGAGAATAGAATTGTCAATTGTTATATTGTCTCGCTACTTCTATTGACGTTAGGTTTCTAACGGTGATTGTAGGGTTATCACTTGGCATGGCATCAGCGGCAGGAGCAACGGGATGGCTGAGGGGGAAAGTCAAGGCTGTTACCTCGGGGGATTGTCTGGTTATTATGGGAAGCACAAAAGCAGATATCCCTCCTGAGAAGACCATCACTTTGTCTTCTCTGATTGCCCCTAGATTGGTATGAATATTTAGTTTGGGTTGCATTGTACGTAATCACCACGTTAACCAATCATTAAAAAAAATCTTTGCGTCTCATTATGCACTCAGGAAATCCTGATCATGAAATGATACATTTCAAATTATTCAGTAATTATTTGCTATATTCCTGTGTCTAAAATGATACTATATGTAATGACTATAATCATCCTCTTTTTCTTTGTTGTCAGTGAGGATCACTTTGTGCTTGAAAATGTTGTCGATTCATGGGAAGTAATAATACTTGCACCTAATGCAATATTCTCTGGTTTTTGTATAATGAATTAGGCCCGTCGAGGTGGTATTGATGAACCATTTGCATGGGAGAGCAGGGAATTTTTGAGGAAACTTTGCATTGGAAAGGTTATTAATTCTAGTCTTCCTTCTGAATATCTTAAATATCTATTTGCAGTAGGTAACATTCTTCTCAGTCTTGATTAATTCCTTCAGGATGTCACATTCAAGGTGGACTACACAGTTCCAACAATTGGGCGAGAGTTTGGTTCTGTTTTTCTTGGAGATAAGAATGTTGCATTTTTAGTTGTTTCTGAAGGATGGGCAAAAGTAAGAATAACTTGTGCACCTTGTTTTCTTTCTATACTGCTCCAATGGTTTCAATGCTGATATTTGTGTATGCATTTGTTTTCATCAGGTAAGGGAACAAGGTCAACAGAAAGGTGAAGCAAGCCCATACTTAGCAGAGCTACAACGTTTGGAAGAGCAAGCCAAGCAACAGGGTTTAGGGCGTTGGAGCAAGGTTAGTACACTTTCTCTCTGTTCTGTTGGTTTTTGAATGTTTTTTTTGTACAGGATGAAATTTTTCGTTCTCATGTCAAGCATGTCTAGTACATTTGCTTATCCTATGCTGAAAAGATTGAGGCTCTGTTATTCATGCTTGTGTGGCTGTTAATGGCTCCTAAAATGTTTAAACCTTAACTGTCTGCTTTCCTTCGGAAATCTAGCTAATGTTGAGGAGCCAACTGATGACAAAGAGCAATCACTAAAACATGAGCATGATTAATAAAAGCTGGAGTAGTCATGTGCTTTTCTTGCTCACCTACTGTAGGTACCGGGTGCTTCAGAGGCAGCTGTAAGAAATCTACCACCTTCAGCCATTGGTGATCCTGGTAATTTTGATGCCATGGGACTGCTAGCTGCAAACAAGGGCAAGCCCATGCAAGGGATTGTTGAGCAGGTCCGTGATGGAGGCACTGTTCGTGTCTACCTCCTCCCTGAGTTCCAGTTTGTTCAAGTTTTTGTCGCTGGGGTTCAGGTATGTTTTATAATGTGATCGAGAACATTTTATTTCAAATGCGATTTTCTGAACAAATTTTTGGAAGGAGAAAGTGTTCACTTTGATTCTTTTTCTTTATATGACAAAGCTGTTTCTCTTGAAAAAAAATAGGCTCCTTCAATGGGAAGAAGGCCTGTTAGTGACCCCATTCCTGAGAGTGATGTCACTACTGATGATACAAATGGTGAAATTTCGGGTGAAAATCGGCAGCCAGTAACATCAGCCCAAAGGCTTGCTGCCTCTTCAGCATCATTCACCGAAGTTGCACCAGATCCATTTGGGAGGGAAGCCAAACACTTTACAGAAACTCGTGTTTTAAACAGAGACGTGGGCTTCTTTTTTTTCTTTTGTTGTATGTACTTCTGCATTTGTTTATCTATAATTCATATCAAATTAATTTCAAATTGTGCAGGTCAGGATTGTGCTGGAAGGTGTAGACAAATATAGCAATCTAATTGGCTCAGTTTATTATCCGGATGGTGATATTGCAAAAGACCTTGCTCTGGAGCTTGTACAGAATGTATGTATGCATACTGCAACCATATACCAAGCAGTAGTAACTTTAGTACAGAAGCTTTGCTTATGTGAGCTCAAAAAAGATAATGACAATCTTTTTTCTGTGATGATTTTACTAAGAGTGAAAGTGGATTAGATGCAGGAAAAACTTGATACCTATCGACTAGTGATCACCATACATGAATTTGCATATGGATATCTTCAAATAGTTATGAATATGAATCCACATGCGACAAATTCATACATACATAAACCTGGAATAACGTAAACAAACAATTAAGGAAATAATTCAAATTCTATCGGTAATGTTTCTTGTATAGCAAAACTAAAAATGAAAAACATTAAGGATGGATGAAAAAAAGAGAATATGCTAAATATAGATTTTATATACCAACAAAGTAATGATTTTCATTACGTTATATAGGTAGATTTAACATGGATTTTATTTGGATGTTTAGTTATGGATAAAGGTATGGATAAATTCCAACATGCCCAAGGCCATGTACTGAAGATTTGTATAACAAAATTCAGATATGACAATGGATATGTGACAGAGACTTATTTATGTAACTATTTCTGGCTCTACCTCGACCAAAATCAATATTGAATAAAATATATATTCCCCAATTTTACCTAAGATGTGTAAGATATTACACATCTCAGGTTGTATAAAAATTTCATTGATTATCTTCCTCTGATATTTCTTGGTTGTTCATGATTATTCTTCCTTATCTTCTTCAACTTGTGTCAAGTTAGCATGTCTTTTCAGCTGCATCCTTGTGCCACAAAAATGTACCTCTGCTGCAAAGCTGCAAGTGCAATTAATAATTAGAAATTATCCTTATTAACGAGTGGTTCTTACATTTCTTAGTTATGAACTTCAATATGACAGTCTCTGTTACCCTTAAACCATTTGTACAAGCCCAACTGAGGTCCGGTTCTAACAGAAACATAATATCCCTTGACAATGGATTGAAACAAAATAATTACTCACCATTGAATGCGGCGTTCCCTTAAATCATGATTTTTCTTTGGAAGAAGTGATGCAAAGCTGTGACCTGCTTCTTCTTTCCTCTTTCTCATCTTGCTTCAATTCCAATGAGAACTGAGAAGTGACAATTTTGTCTTTTCTTACATTTGAACTCTTTATTGAATATATCCTACTGACAGAAAAAATGTTAACTCCGAACTTTCACCATCTGAATTTCTTTCCTTCTATGCAACTTTTACTCAAACAAAACTTATGCTTGGTGTACTCTGCTTACGAGTGTTATTATTGAGGTGACAGACCTTTGTGCTTACCTGTGCTTAGTTAATGGGCTACCGTATGCATTTTGTAGGCAACTGCCTATGGAAGTTAAAAATAGGGTGGGGCACATCTAATCTTATTTGGACAATTTACCCAAAAAAACCCTTACAAATTAGTTTTTACCTAGGGGCATCTTTTATTTTCATAAATGGATAAATGTGTCCTTGATCTGGTTCATAATGTGGTTGTGTTAAATCAGATCAAATTGAATCAGACCGATTCAATTCGACCTTCTCCCCCTTCTATTTTCACCCATCTCCACCAGCCCTCCACCTCTTATTTCTTCTCCTTTGAAGAGGAAGAGGAGGGAACAGAGGGGGAGGCGACCGAGGAGGGAATCGGTTAACTAGGTTGACCTGAACCGGAATTGGCCTGGATCAGTTTAGTGATCCGAACAAGATCTGAACTGGTTCAGGAATTTTTGAAAAAAAAATGATTGCAATTGGAGGGTAAATATAGGATTTATAGAAAAAAGGTGCCCCTCGGTTAATTCCAGATAAAGGGGTGCCATCTGCTAAGAACGAATTAGTTGTGGATTTTCTGGGTAAACTGGCCATCTTATTTCATCGAGTAATTTAATCAAGGATGACGCAAAAATAGGTCATGCTCCAAGTATTTCCTTTGCCTGTTATCTCGGTTTTTGTCTTGTTATCCTCTATGGTCTGAAATGATGCTTTTGTGTTTTCTATTTTCAGGTTAGAAAGCTAAATGTTTGTTATTAGTTTGTTACATATGCATTATTAATATTTACCCATACGACTGAAGATTTCATAAACATTGACTTCCTTGTTCGTTAAAACAAACATGGGTGTCCTTAATAAAATAACATTGTTTTCCCTACTTCATAGGGTTTTGCTAAGTTTGTGGAATGGAGTGCAAACATGATGGAGGATGATGCCAAACGGAAACTGAAGGCTGCTGATCTTCAGGCAAAGAAGGATCGCTTGAGAATCTGGACAAACTATGTTCCTCCAGCTTCAAATTCAAAGGCAATTCATGATCAAAATTTCACAGGAAAAGTATGTGACTTTTACCCAGGCCTTCTTGAAATTGATTGTTTTGCACCTGTCATTCATATACTTTGAACTGTGCAATTTTTTCTGTTAATTTTAGGTCGTAGAGATAGTGAGTGGAGACTGCATAATTGTTGCTGATGATGCTGTCCCCTATGGTAGCCCATTAGCTGAGCGTAGAGTCAACCTTTCAAGCATCAGAGCACCTAAGATGGGAAATCCTCGTCGAGATGAAAAACCAGCACCCTACGCCCGTGAAGCTAAGGAGTTTTTACGTACTCGTCTTATTGGCCATCAAGTATGATTATTTGCTTGGTGTATTTAGTGGAACAGATCTGTGAAGTTAGTTATCTCATAATGCATTTATTATCAGGTAAACGTGTCAATGGAATATTCTAGGAAGGTTGGCATGGCTGATGGACCCAATGCAATAGTATCTAGTTCAGCTGATACTAGAGTCATGGATTTTGGGTCTGTTTTCCTTGTGAAGAGTGAGGGTGATGAAACCTCTTCTCCCTCTCCTAACCAACCGGTAGGCACAAATGTTGCTGAGATGGTTGTCTCACGTGGTTTTGCCACTATAGTTAGACATCGAGATTTTGAAGAAAGGTCTAATCATTATGATGCCTTGCTGGCTGCTGAATCACGTGCAATTAATTCAAGGAAAGGGATTCATTCTGCCAGGGATCCTCCAGTGATGCATATAACTGATCTGACGACGGTGAGAAATTGAATCACTATTTTGTGCGTTGTGCAATATGTGTTTATCATGGTATATAATATTAGTATTATGTTATCTGCACAGGCATCCGCAAAGAAAGCTCGAGATTTCTTGCCTTTTCTGCAAAGAAGTAGGAGGCATACTGCCGTTGTTGAATATGTCCTCAGCGGTCATCGATTTAAGTTGTTGATTCCTAAGGAAACATGCAGTATTGCCTTCTCGTTTTCCGGGGTTCGCTGTCCTGGTCGAGAGGAGCCTTTTTCAGATGAAGCTATTGCTTTGATGAGAAGGAAAATACTGCAACGGGATGTTGAGGTGCTAATAGTTTATTTATTTGAGCTTAAAATGTTATCCTGTTCATACACTTAAACAAATTTTCTGGTTATGTTGGACAGATTGAGGTAGAAACAGTTGATAGGACTGGAACTTTCTTAGGCTCTTTGTGGGAGTCAAAGACCAATACGGCTATTACTCTTTTGGAAGCCGGTTTGGCAAAACTTCAAACTTCCTTTGGTTCAGACAAGATTGCAGATGCTCACCTTTTGTCTCAGGCTGAACAGTCTGCAAAGCGCCTGAAGCTAAAAGTAAGCTACAGTTACTGATTCTTTTTGTTATTGGAACTTCTTATGTTTGTTTGAGACCTTGCATTGGTGGGAACCTTGTGTTTTGAGCTGCCCTTTTAAGCTTCACATGTACATGTAACTTCTTTTTTTTCTTTTTGCTAGATCTGGGAGAACTATGTTGAAGGGCAAGAAGTCTCAAATGGCCCCTCTGCTGAAGCAAAGCAGAAAGAAGTCCTCAAGGTACTTTACAAGGAGTCCTTTAACATGCTTGTTCCAATTATATATTAAAAATGATCATCTTATGTTCCTCGTTGATGAATTCAGGTGGTGGTTACAGAAGTCCTTGGTGGTGGAAAATTTTATGTCCAAACTGTTGGTGATCAGAAGGTGGATGCCATTCAACAGCAACTTGCTGCATTAAACATTAAAGAAGCTCCGGTCATTGGTTCTTTTAATCCTGCAAAGGGTGATGTTGTACTAGCCCAGTTCAGCATCGATGATTCCTGGAATAGAGCCATGGTATGACTTAATTTTTGCTTACATCTGAAATTGATGTCAGACTTCTTCACCCATTCCTTAGTAAGGTTCAATTGCCATAGAAGTGTTTTTTAAAGTTGTTATGTTTAAAAGATTGTGGTTCATCACTGCTAAAATTGATGTCAGACTTCTTCACCCATTCCTTAGCAAAGCATCAAAGCAGAGTTCTATAGACCAGAGTATGATGCAATAGCAATAAGATAAGCATAATAGCAAGACAATGAGCAATTTATATTGCTCAGTGTATAGTTAATAACTTGCATCTGTTGATGAAGAAAATCAAGGCAAACTTAAGTAGGATGATTAGGAAACCAGTTGCGCAATGCCCCCAATTACCTATGTCTCTTCAAACCTAGCTTAGCCCCAGATTTCTCAAGTTAGAGATCAGACTAAACTCTAATGTGGCATATGTACTCTAGAAGAAGTTCATAAGATCGAACACAGTCAAGTTTGGCTACATTCCCCAAGCCCCATGGTGGAATCAGGATACTGTGACGGGACATGTCACTAGGTTAACCCAACCTCTACGATGAGGCTATAAAAGAGGACCCATTCTTGAGCACTCTAGAACAAAGATTTTAATTTTGAATGATACCGTCCGTATTGGGCGATACGTACCGGTCTACTAATAGATCGGTACGCGGATTCCTCGCTATCGGGCAATACCGTTGATCTCGCCCCGTATCGAATGATACATGGCTGTATCGGGCGATACCGGTCGATATTGAGATCGTTACCGCTCGAAACAGGTCGGTAACGATCGATTTTGACCGTCGTCGCCCGTTACCGGGCGGCATTAGTCTGGCTATAGTGAGGGAAGAAGAAGCGTCGAGGGAGAAGACGCTTGAAGAAGAGGGAGACTTGGGAGAACCTTGATGCTTCCCGATCTGGCGCTGCCCTCCTTCGACGATCCCGATCCAGGAGGTAACGAAGAGGCGATGGCTCGGCTTCTTTTTCACCGAAGGCTGGAGATGCCTCGGCCTTCGCCGCATTCTTCGGAGACGTCTGCGGTCTTCGATGTCTTCGCCGAATGTTGCAGATGAAGAGAAGACCGCGTCTTCTCCTCACCTGACGCGACAAGGAGAAGAAAAGGAGGCGACGTTGTCGAGGCAGTGTACACCTCCTTTTTCTTATTTTTTATATTATATATATATATACATATATACATATATATATATATACACACACACCGAGAGGTACACCATCGCGTACTGCTCGGTATGCCCATTTTGTACTGTATTGAGCAAAGCTCGAAACGTCGGTACAGTACGAAATTAAGAACCTTGCTCTAGAACATCTATGTTGAGTGTATACATTGATGATTGCTACACTGATCCATTTGGTTGGTAGAGTGGTATGCTAGAAGACATTTAATATCATCTACAAAAAATTGCTTTTACAAGCCCAAAAATTTCATTTTCATTAATTCAATTGCAGCTACCCTATGCAATAATGTGAGCATCTGGCAATTATTGCCATTTTACTTGTTAGTTCTTCTGATGGTAAATATTTTATGGTATGTTGTATTGGTTCAACAATAAGCCTTTTTTCTTAGAAACATGTATCTGTGCTCTGTAAGCTAGTACTTAATGCATTTGTAAAATAATTGTGCTTTAGATTTTTTTTACTACTTGGTTCATGTTTTTTTGATATCTCTCTTCATTTTTCTACTTTTCATGTAATAGCATTTGAAAGATGTGGTTTATTGTCATATAATTAATTTGATACGTTTATAGATTGTAAGTGGACCACGAGGAGCTGTGGAATCACCTAATGACAAGTTTGAAGTGTTTTATATTGACTATGGGAACCAAGAAATTGTTCCATATAGTCGCTTAAGGCCCCTTGATCCTTCAGTATCGTCGGCTCCTGGGTTGGCTCAGCTTTGTTGTCTTGCTTACATTAAAGTGCCTAATTTGGAGGATGATTTTGGTCAAGAAGCTGCAGAGTATTTGAGTGAGTGCACTATGAACAATTCAAAAGAATTCAGAGCAATGATTGAAGAAAGAGATACTTCAGGCGGGAAAGCCAGAGGACAAGGAAGTGGAACTGTATTAATGGTGACTCTCGTTGATGTTGAAGCTGAAGTCAGTATTAATGCTACTATGCTGCAGGTTTGAATACCTGACTATGTCCTAGTTATTTAAATATATTGCCTTAATTTTTTTGTTTATCTTCCGAATCGGCAATTGACATCAATGGTGAATACTGAAACCAATTTAGCCCATAAGTCTCCATGTCATGTATATGCATTATGCTTTTTTTTTTCATGTCAAGTTTATTTCATTCGTTAGTGTCATGGTGGATGGTTTTGTTTATTAGATGCATGGATTTTTTTTATTTTATTAGGTTTATCTTAGATGCCATTACCTTAGGTAAGTTTATTTCATTCGTTAATGTCATGGTGGATGCTTTTGTTTATTAGATGCATGGACTTTTTTATTTTATTAGGTTTATCTTAGATGCTATTACCTTATGGAATTTGTATCTTCTTATTTTCATGAAACTTTTCCCCTAGGTTCAATTTTTTTCAACTTTTTGGCTGAACTCCCCTAACCATGAATTGCCATGTTTCTTTTGTTTTTTTCCTTTTGATTAAGTCTACGATGGGTTTGGTGTTTAGGATTTGATGTTTATTAGTTTCTTTAATGTTTGCTTGTTAATCTACAATAGTATTTGTCTGCTGTAGGAGCATGAAATCTCTGTAGAAGTTAACATTGTTCTATTTTTAGAATTTTATATCCTCCTATCAGATCCAAAGAGGATGCATGCGTGTTTACATATTTGGAACAATCGTAACAAACCATATTGGAAATGATGAATGGTTGTTTATGACCATTCCAATTGTTTGTTCTTGTATAGTCTCAATTATGATAACGTTTCCCCACTTTGCTCCAAGTCTTTTTGGTGTTCCATCTTCTGATTTGTTAAATTATGATTATGTAGGAAGGGCTTGCCAGACTAGAAAGGAAGAAGAGATGGGACACTAGAGAACGCAAGGCAGCTCTCGATAACTTGGAAGAGTTCCAAGGGAAAGCAAAAGGAGATAGACTGAATATTTGGCAATATGGTGATGTCCAATCTGATGATGAAGAGTCAGCTCCTCCTCCAAGGAAAGCTGGAGGTCGCTGATGAGCAATCATTGAAAACATGCCGAGGTTAGTGATTAGGTCCAGAGATAAGATCTCACTTCAGCAGCTCTTTCTACCTCTGTGTTTCTCCTTTCTGGTTTTGCTTTTATTTTTAACCCAAGATTTGAGGAGACATTATTTTTCCCATGTTCAAATAAAGCAAACATAGCTTGTCTATCTCCATCTGGATGCCTAGACTTATTGGTGAGAACTTATGACATAGGCCTTATATGTATCCTTAGATGTAGTTGCAACTCAGAGTTATGTTGTTATTTAAATCAACTATTGGTGGCTTTATTCTTATTCTGCTTTCAGAAATCAATTGGTAGATTTCATTTAGCCATATAGCTGACAGATAGCTTAATGTACACTACCATGGAATCACCAGTTTTGTGAAGTTAGTTTCTATTCAATTATTTTTGGCGTTATCGTTGCGTCTGCTAAATTTATAATATGCTTCAGGAGTAATTTCAGGGTCATGCTGAGATGGAAGTCTTTTCAGAATTTTTGCCTACCTGACCCTGCGATTGTTTTAATGTTTCTATGGTAACGGTGGGTGATACAAGACATTCCTGATTAGTTTTCTTGAGCTTCTTCTGCAACTGTTGCCTCAAGAACATACCTCATCCTGTTCAAAATCTTAAAGCAATCCGTAGAATGTGATTCCTGTGTTGCAACTCCCTTGTTTCTTAGCAATATGTGCTGGCCCTTGATTCCAAAGATCCAACTATATATATTTGATCGACCAATTTTTGTCCACATAGAAGTGTCAAGTGATGTCAAACTCTGATTTCATGCACCTTTTCTACTCTGTTAGGAGGGGCCATCATAGGAGTTCTAATAACCATGCTCATGATCAGACATTTCATGCTGTTATGATTAGGTTGATCTCTTGAATCTTTAAAGCTCATTAAGCATTCAAGAAGTGAGCATTTAGTTCTCTGTTCTGATCTGCTTATCTCTGTGAATCTTATGCATTGCAAAGGATCTCAGTTCAAAGGAAAATAGACCTAAACCCGAGTTCAGCCGGACCGGGTTGGGTTTGATCCATTCACATCCATTCAGAGATTCTCGATTTTTAGAATCTAAAACATTCAACTTGTTTTTAGATTAGTTCCAAGTTCTAAAGATTCCTGTTTCAACACCTACTGACCAACCAATGTATCGTTTGATTACACTTGGAGATGTGCAATGAGGCAACACCGGTGTTGTTTACAGACAAACAAATCTATCTGATACCAAAGGTTCGCCTGATGCCATGCATTCTTGTACGTACGTCCTCTCTTTTTGTGTTCCTCATTGTTCCCTTTTTCTTCTGACATCAAAGTATTGGGCGGGATGAGGCTTTGAGACGTCTTTGCTAAGAAAGAGAGCTCCTTTTGCATGCATAGGAGTTGGATCTTGCACGGTTACCCATAGCCATTCCTTCACATGCAACCTTGGGGTGATGTGTGTGTGTGTGAGAGAGAGTGAGAGAGAGAGAGAGAAAGAGAGGAATCATGCATCCAAAACGAGACACAGTCTGCCTTTGAAGATTTGAACCGTGTGGTGTGGGTGATTGAATAAGAGACTGCGTCTCGGCTTCTTCGTCGCATCTCCTTTTGTTTGTTTACGAACGGGGTTGGATAAGGCGTCTCGTTTGTGTCTCACTCTATGTTGGGGTACTCCAAACTTTCTCGAGATGCACAGTGGTCAAACACACCCATATTTGAATGTGAGAGTGAGTCAAAATTAAGTAGACATAAATCCAAGTTGAGTTGAATCAATGGTGAGAAATGCACCATCCAGAATGCAATATATTGGATCCATGATCGTTACCATTATTATATGTATAAAAGAAATCTATTGCATGCGTGGATTGGACAAGCTGAATCGGGTTATTTTTTATTGGACTAACAAATACTATTTGCGTTGAATGCTCAAAGATTAAACACGTGGATTAGTAAAATTTATTTATATATTTTTAAATTAAAAATATATTATAATATCAAATGATGTATATGATGATACTTATCACTTTTTAATAACTTACTAATCAATTCGACTTTCTCAATAAAGATTATTAATAGAATTTATTATCATCAAGTTTCAAATTATGAATTATAAAAATTAAACAAGCCATACTACCACTTTGAAGGTTATGATAATTGATGCAATTAAATAAGAATTATGAGTGTTTCCACAACATTTTGTTCATGATTACTGCTAGTAATCAAGCCACAACAATTCTACTTCTTTTTCTTCAGATGCATTTTGGCCCACCATTCCTCCTCCTTCATTCGGCTAGAGAGAGAGAGAGAGAGAGAGAGAGAGAGAGAGAGAGAGAGAGAGAGAGAGAG